GAAGGACTGTGCATCAGTTGAGGTTGGCTAGCACACGGTCATTGTCTGCTAGTTTTTTTATGCGATGCTATGTTTACTCTCTCACTATGTTTCCCGTTTTCCTTAGTCTATTGTGGCATTTGTTCCATGATTACTATGAATTTCTTTGTTCTACATCTTCTTTAATGTGTTGTTTTAGCAAACTTTTGGTTGAGTTGATAGGGACACTATTCAAATAAGATTGATGTACCTACATTCTTTCTTGATTGCAAAACCCGTTCCAAGAAGAATAAAGTAGGTTTACTTGTAGGCTGGCACACCATATTTAAATTAAATGAAAACATGTTTATCATTTTAAAAATAATTTGTGTCCAAGTTGGTGTTGTTTGAGATGGATCCAACGCTAAATGTTAAACACATCATCACCTATTATAGACAAGACATGAGATGTTGATAGTATGTAAAGTGGACTAGCTAAAGAAATATAAAATTTGACAAACAATACTAAATAGTAAAGGTGAGAGAGGCTATTGGAGGACAACTACAAGTGACAACTCTTACATTCGAGAAATTTCTATTAGTTAAAGTTAGGTAAATACTCATATTCTAAGAACCTTCATCGTACTGAAATTTATTCATTGCAAAACCGCCAATCAATATTTTTACAGATATTAACATAGCCACAAAAGTATAAATATGCAAGTGACAAAACTTATCAAGAATAGTCCTAAAGAAACATAGTGAGAACAGAATGTTTTTTTTGCTTAACTAAGACAGAATTCAGTTTGCTAAAACTTCCAAAAAGAATTTAACAAATATAATAAAACATCTGTGTGAAAATATGGTCTTGCATTAGCATTTTCATAGTCGTAATGATAGAGATTTGAGTTGTAGAACAAAAAACTTCAAGTTTTAATATTTCCAACACAATTGTGTGATTTATGTTTTCATAAGACTAGGTTTAGTATAATTATATTAATTTAAAAATATACTCCCCCGTTCCATATTAGTTGTCACTGCCAACTAATATGGAACATAGGGATTAGTAAAGATTTAATGATAATGAGTTGGAAGGAAGTAAAAAATAGTTACTATAAATGTTGTATGTTCCTTTGCAAATTGTTATTTGTAATAAAACAATGGGTTTGCTAAAACTCATTCAAATGCTTTTTTCTTTGGTCTCATTCACTTTTGTGGCCGTCGGATCAAAACGCACCACGATTTGTTTTTCTAAGCGACGCGAGCGTGCCCTGCTCATCCCGTACGAGGAGCAGCTCATGTGCGTGAGCTTTACCCAGGCTTTTTGCTTGCTTATTTTGCCCGAGCTGGGCTATGTGGGCTTTTTCTTTTCCTTTGTCCCCGACCAAAAAAGAAATATGTGGATCGAAGGATGTGAACGCTGCATAGCTTTTTGCATGTTTTGTCATTTGTTTACTTTCAGGGGTAAGCTCTTTGTAAGGGCGTTTTTAACTTTTTTTCTCATGATTAATTGTTGTTTTAGTTTTTTGTTTTCTATTTTTTCTTATTTCACTATATTAATAGAATTTTGTTTCACTCTTTTCTTATTTTTATTATATTCATTTTATTTTAAGTATAATATTCATTTGTTACCCAAGATTGCAAATTGATTGTTTAGGTTATATTTTTATAATATTTTCCTCTTATTATTATTATTATTATTATTATTACTATTATTATTATTTTAAAAGAATCACCGTGCCAACACATTAATGAAGTTTAGATTGAAAAATAGGGTGTTAGTGGGACATGGGCCAGTTACATGTCTACCACTAGACATGCAACTACAAGCGGTGTAACCCGATTGCAATTGCACCGGCACAAAGCAATTGCAATTGGGGTTGGGAGGGGAAGTTGTCGGGGCCAGTTGCATGTTCGTATTGGAAATGCAACTGCAAGCGTTGTAATCCGACTGCAACTGCATGTGGCACAAATCGACTGCAACTGAGGTCCGGAGAGGAGTTGTCGGGATAGTTGCATGTCCATCACTAGACATGCAACTGCAAGTGTTGTAACCCGACTGCAGCTTCAAGCATTGTTACCCGACTGCAACTGCAGGGGGGCACAAAACACTGCAACTGGGTCAGGAAAGAAGTTATCGAGGCCAGTTTTCATGTCCACCACTAGACATGCAACTGCAAGTGTTGTAACCCGACTGCAACTGCGCGGGGCATAAAGCGACTGCAACTTGGGCTAGGAGAAGTGTTGTCGAGGCCAGTTGCATGCACATCACTAGACATGCAATTACAAGTGTTATAACCCGTTTGCAATTGCACGAGCACAAAGTGACTGCAACTGCATCAAGCGAGAGTTATCGGGATCAATTGCATGTGCACCACTAAACATGCAATTTGCAAGCATTTGCCTGTTCTTAAATATTTTTACTACTAAAAAAGGTGCAGTATACATATA